AGTAACAATAAAAGTTTTAAGTAACAATGGAAGTGTCAACAATGGAAATGTTACATAACAATAGAATTGTTAAGAGAAAGCGACGTGCAATATGCAGATGCAGTTTTTTTCGTTTTTGCGGGAAATCGAACATATTTTTAGACCCATCTAAAAATTCTCTAATTAGTCTGGAAACAAGGGGACCCAATTCTTGCATTCTGTGAAATCGAACATATTTTTAGACCCATCTAAAAATTCTCTAATTAGTCTGGAAACAAGGGGACCCAATTCTTGCATTCTGTAAAAACGGGTAAGGTTGACTGTAACGTAATAATCTTTATCTTAGTTATCATTACTTTTGCCTGAGCAACGCCGGGCCCACCTGCTAGTTTTAACTTAAAATTGTAAACGATATTTGAAAGATATATTTTAGTCAAACATCTCAACAATTAACTACAGTATCATCATCATCATCAAAGTTTATTTAGCATATAAGGCTTTCGCCTGTTACAAGGATGTGATTTATTAATACATGTTCTTCCACCACCATTAGAACCTTCTTCATATAGATTAAGGGTCCCCCAACTTTTTATCCACCCCTTTATAGAATATTTGCCTTCTTATCGACCCCCAGATTATGCATTTAACAAAAACATTAAATCATTTTTTGCATTTCTGATGTTAAGCAATAAGGAGACCTGCATAACAACCCAACAAAAGAATTTATAGTTACCATATCTTATAAAATCCACTCAATAACATTAACAGAAAAGAGAGATATTTTTCACTGATTTATAATCTTAAAAAATAATAGCAAAATTATGGATAGATGGAAATTTGCCTATAGTTCTTAAACCATACGTGTCATAATACATAAAATACACAGTTATCTTTGAAAACATAACATAAGTTATATTGGATGAAAAACCTCTTACTGTCACATTTTGCGACTACTACTGAATACCTTAAAAATATGTTAACATATCTTTTTATTAAAATAGTCAATATTACTGGGATAGATGTGTCTGAAGAGAAGCAGCAAGATTATTGATATTCGGTTGAAAATTGGTAAGTTTTAGTCGCAAATCACCATGTTTTTCCAAGTTCAATTTGTTCCTCTGTTTTGTCAAAATTGCGTTTGCGTGGCTACAACCAGCTTCAACCATGTATGAAGTTGGGAATGCAAATAAGAAAAGTTCAGCTTCTGCTCTGAGCTTGGGATATTTAGTGGCAATATTGTTATTGCTCCAAAATTCACTGAGATTTTTATTTTTAAACAATGCTTTAGCTTCGAGATCTACACATATTTCAATCAGTTCATCTTCTAAGCCAGGTTCACTACCTTCACTATCTATTTTTACATCAAATGGAGTAGCAAACCATTTGGGAACATGCATATGCTCCAAGTCTTCTCTTAATTTATCAAGATGTTTAATATATATCTCTAAATCATGGTCGGAAATCTTTTCATTTTCTTTTAGTACTCACAAGTTTGAAAAATATTTAAAATCGGATCATGCCAGTGAAGATTTAAATAGCTCCAATTTTACTTGAAAGGCCATTATGATTGTTTGAGCTTAAACAATTGTAATGTTTTTTCCTTGCAAATGCTTCTGTACTATATTAAATTTCGAATAAAGGTTTGCCAAATAGAACAGATGGTTCTTGCACTGTTTTAACTGGTCACATAGCGATGGATCCACATTCCTAAGAAACTCTTCAGCTGAGTCGTACAAGTCAACAAGCCTCTGCAAACTATCACCTCTTGACAACCACCTTACCTCAGTGTGCAAAAGTAATTGGTTGAAAGTTTCATTTTCTCCATATTCATATAGTTATGTGAAGAAAATATCATTTTCTTCACATAACTTCGCAAACAGTCTGGAATTGAGAGGATAAGCTTTAATTTTATTTATTGACCTGATGCACACTTTTAGAGTATGATGAAGTTCGCCACTCAGTTTTTTGGCTACAAGATGCTGCCTGTGTAGGACACAGTGAACAGTATGTACTTTAGGAACCTTTTCCTTAAAAAAAAAAATCCACTGTAACAGCCTACCCTAGCAGGTGCACAGTCAGTAGCTACTGCAGTAATATTCCCAAAAGAAATGCTGTGCTTGTTCAAATAATCTTGCAAACATAAAAAAATTTTCTCACCTTTTGAATCCGTTTCAAGATACTTAGCACATAGAAATTCATCAACAGTGTCATTTAGGAATGGGATATGAAACCTAACATAAGCTGTGAGAAGATTTGAACTTCCGAAAGTTGAATAGCAAACTTACAATGCTGGAGCTCAGAGATCAAAGTTCTTTCCACATCATCGGCTATTTCCTCAATACCTCGTTGCACAGTATTTGCACTTAATGGTATTCATTTTAAAACTAGTTGAGAGTCTTTCTTCATAACATTTTCAATTACATCTTTTATAGCTGGTATCATAATCTCTGCACCAATAGTATACGGTTTGCCTTTCTTTGCAATATTAAGAGAGATGCTGTAGGATGTCTTCAGTCCTTCTTCTCTATCGACACTAGGAGATGACTTCAAATATGTATTCAAATTTGGCCAAACTCTCAATTTCTCTCTTAATATTTTGAAATACTCAAAATTTTTGTTTTTCTTATCAGAATGGATCCTTTCCAAGTGGTCTTTCATTTTCGCCGGCTTCATAGCATCTTTGCTGAAAGTTTTTTCACATAATAAGCACATAGAAATAGTTTAATTTGCAAACGATGGTACAAAACCATATTTCAAATACTCCTGTGAATATTGTTTGCATTTCTTCTTAGCATTAGTAGCTGACATTGTGAGTATTAAAATCAGATTTTTAATATGAAAAACACAATACATTTGCAACACAACAAAACAGCAGCAGTAAGAGAGACAACTTACTCCTGCACGAGCTATAAAGAACTGCCCGTTTATTCTTAGAGTGCAGTGTTGCCACCTTTTGCTAATAGATATTAAGAATTGGAAGGAATTATAATTATTCTAAACTATTACACTAAAGATGTTAATAAATGTATGTGATTTTTTCATATGAACATGAATGATAATTTGATTTTTGGTGAATTTTTTAAATAATATCGCCTGACTGACCTATATCGCCCTTGGACAATTTACAAAATAAACGTAAACAAAATGATGGTGGTAAAGGGTTAAGGTTAAAATTATAAGCTTATAAACAGATTCCACCGTTCCCAATGCGCAGTCCAAGTCCAATCATGTGGTGAAAACCAACCTGAGGATGAAGAAAGGATCCCAGTCACATATAACCCATATCTCAAATCACTATACACTGAGATAGCTAAGAAGCACTGCATTCGCATCGCATACAGGAGATGTCCAACTGTATTTGACATCCTCCATAACAGAAAGGATGCTCCCAACCAGGATAGACTCCCCGGAGTGTACAGTATCCCACTTAAGGATTACAGATGTGATAAAGACCTCATCTATATTGGCTCCACTAAGCACTCCTTGGGGGTTAGAATGAAACAGCACCTAGCTGACATACAGCACATGAAGACCACCACCGCTCTTGCCATTTATGCCAGTGATCCAGACATAGAGCCAATTTTCAACCAAGCAAGGATCATCCTCACCTCACGAAACACTAAGCATCTAAGGTAATTGGAGGCCATTTGTATCTATAGATCTAGCCTCATTTACACATGTATCAACCACAAGGAGGAATTGACCCTATCCATAGCGTGGCAAGCGCTAATGGACAACGACCTATAAATCTTGACAATTGCTGCAAGATAAAGTGCACATGCCCAGTAAGACAACGTCAAGAATCAAGAAACACATATTCAAATCAAATTTCAAATTGTGTTCTTTTTTTTACTTGCATTCCATTGGAAATTTTGCCATTCACTTAAAGAAGAACCATTTATGGTTCAAAAGTGTTTGTGAGGAACTTAAAAAGTTAAATTTAAAGACGACAAAAGTGAAGACGACAGTTATACACTCATCAAAAGTACTTGTGTCAATATTAAAGGAACTTTATTAACGCTGAACTCAGTGAATTTGTATCCAGAAACTATTGTGAGCAACTGTTTTTTGTTTTTATTTGAGTTTCACACCATTAACAGGTTTGTGGATGCAGTTAACTTTACCCCAGGGTTGATTATTGTGGTTATCTAACTCATTTAACAGCTTAGTTTATACACGTGTGAATCCTGTCCAAATATTTCAATGTATTTAAAATATAAATGACAAATCTGTTAAATACCAAGAGGAGATTTGCTCTTCTACATAACTTGTCAAATCACTGTTGATTCTACAATGCATAAAATATATACAAAGTAATCAATAATATAACAACATTAAATAAAAAAATCGTTTTCCCATGTTTATTTAAAAGTAAAGAGAAACTTACATTGCATTTATTTTATAGTGAACTCAATCAATAGATTATTTATACATCTCTAGTTTAAAATTCTACAGGCAGAGGATAATTAACAAATATTTCTGTATCTCCAATTTTCTAACTCTAAGAAAATTAACAAGAAGTTTTCTGTTGAGTGATCTATTGTATATTCTCAAAAGAAAAGAAAAATAAATAAAAAAATCAAGAAAAACTAATTTTACCTAACTGAAAATATGAAGTGTTGATATGTAATTCTATCAAATCAGATAATAGAGAGATTGCGGCCGACGTTCATCGTGAAAACATTCAGTGCCGCTTTCCTGTACGCCTAGAAGTTTGACAATGGTGTTTGGATAGTCAGTGGAATCATGCTCGACATTCCAAGCACCATTGTCAAACTCCTAGGCTTACAGGAAGGCGGCGCTGAATGTCCGACGTACACGTTTTTGCAATGAAAACGTTGGCCGCAACCTCTCTAATGTATGAAGTGTACCCATTAATGAATTAGAATATGTAATAAATTGTAGCTTTCAATTTTTGTGTTTCTAGTTACCTTTAAATTTAATAATTTATCAGAAATACATCATCAAATTAAGAACAATATAGATAAGATATTGATATTTGTAATAAGATTGGGACTTACCCAGGAAAGGGAACACCTGTATTATCTAAATAAAAAAATTTAATCATTTATTAAAATATTTATATATTTTAAAATATGCTTATTTATATACAGATAATTTATCAGATAAACAGGAAATAATTTCAGATTAATTTTTACTCACTTTCAGAATTTTAAACTATAATTTTTGGCTTTAAATCATTTTTAAAAAGTTTAAACAACAGCTACATTTAAATAAAATTTGAAAGAACTTAGAAAATATTATCAAGAACTCTTATTGCAGAGAAATAAAGTTATGGTTCAATGCTAGCTACTGACTGAATTTATTCTTTTTGACTTTAGGTGTTGTAAAGCAGTAGCAATTGTATGATATGTGAGGACAATTTACACTGGTTTGTATTATGCAAAGCTTGTATCACACGTTGCACAAGATCTAGAATCAAATTAATATTAAACTTTGAATACTGAACCAAGACTGAATATTATTTAAATGCAAAGAAATATATAAGATCCTTAAAAGCACAATGCACTTGACAAAACTTTAGGCTGTTCATGACTAAACCATCACTAATAACTTACAGTATGTTCATGTATAATAAATTATAATACAGAGTGTATAATACAGAGTGTATAATAAATTATAAGTGGTAGTTTGGTATATTCTTTATCAAATCTAATACATCATGAAATTGAAATTATCATATTTTATATCAAACTGACTGACTGCTGATCTCCCTTTTACATGACATAAAATATTTAAAAGAAAAAAGTAAATGTATAAGTTGACTAAAACAGTTGGTAAAGTTACTCCTAACATCAAACCATATAATTCATAAAGCCATTAGGCTTTACAAATTGTATTGTTTATAACTTCCAACTATACCAAAATGAAAACACCATCAAGAACTGAATATCGCACAACAGTGTATATGAAGTATAGAATTAACTTTAAGTGTGGATTGATATGATGTCTGGTAATTTATCATCAATTTTTATGAATGTTTTTTATAATTATTGTTTAATGTTGTACGTAGTGTTATTTAGTAATATAAATGTTGGTTTATCTGTATATTATATTTTCATTTATTAGATTCTTTTATTTGTATTTTAATTATAATACAATGTTTTTTTCCTGTGGAGTTAGACCTCTTTCTGCTCTGAGAGCACTACTATGCCCTATGCTAAGGCATAGCAGCTAAGTGTTAATTAATTAATTATTAATTCCTGTTAAGCCCTTATCCCAAGATAACTCGGGCAAGTTCCATAGTGTTACATAAAACTCGGTCGTTTGGGCCCTCCAAAAAATTTTATTTTTTGAGAATTTTTGGATGTTTTTTAAATCTCCAAATTTTTTCAAAAATTTTTCCCTGCACGAAAAAATTTTATTGCGATTTTAATCTACCTTTAATGATGCACGATTAATGCTTAATTGTTTTTTAATGCGATTTTTTTATCAAATTTCATTCATCGTTCTAAAGTTCTAGTTCATGGATTTGACTTTGGTAAAGTTATTTAAAGCTAGTTTCTGATGTCAAAAACGACCTCCAATAGTTTTTTAATTTTTTAATTAATATATTTTATTATATATACGTTTAATTAAGTCAGGGGGGTTGAAAGTTGCAATAAAAATTTGAATTTTTTAAAAATATACGGCCAGCTAGTATTCACCCCACTTTAAACCCTTGTCCCCCCGAGATGTCTATGAGAATGTCCCGGGAAATCCGAAACTAGCTGTTCTCAAGGTCATCCAGCTGTGTAAACAATGACTCATCAGTGTCAAATTTCATAGAAAGGCGAGACAATGGAAAATAAAGTTTGAAGCTTTTTCTTCAAAATTAACGCATTTCTTTCATTTTTTTTCAGTTTTAAATATTTTTTACATTTAATTACATTAATAATATCAAAAATTGGTAAAGTCCCAAGGAGTTAATCAACGATCTTAAAGGCCAAGCAGGTTTGTGTGTCTTCACTTCAAAGAATAATCTTGGGCAATCAATGTTGGAGGATTACGAGAACCAGCTAAAGAAGCTGTTAACCCTGTGAGTGCAATAATCTTACATGTCTTCCTTAGTATAGTTGGTGTCGGATCCTCTTTTAGTATAATTGATTCAGATTGTTGAAGGAATTCATTGGATCTTGATAGGAAATCCTGGTTTTTGCATAACACAAATCTTGTATCTTTATGTGCTACTAACAGATTTAAATGATTGCTTGTAAGATATGATTTAACTATCTGAGCAGCTTGTACATTTGATTTGCTGGATTTCGAACTTCAGTTTGATGCTATGTTGGTTATTGCAGAAAGCTCCAATTTAGGTTGCAATTCTGGACAGCAAGTGTTCTCTATAGCAGCAATGGTGGGAGGAATGAGTTGTGCATAATCAAACGTTGGAATAGGTATATGTTTCGGACCTCGTGATACTATTTGATAAATATTTGCTAGTACATTTGCAAGATTATAATATGGAACTCAATGTTTTTACTTTGTTTGTGGTGGGATGTTTCCTATAACCAATAATATTTACTATTCAATTTCTTCTTGACTTCTCGTGAATTTTTGCTAGCAATATATCTTATCTTGTCCAGTTGTTGGTACAGAATAGACGGATCACACTGCTTATCGAAGAAGAGGAAGTTCCCAATATGACAGCTTTCATGCAAGCCATCAACAATAACCCTTTCGGTTTGATGATAGGAATGGACAGGCTAGTGTGGAGGAGGTCCATTTTCCTGATGTTAACATTAGAATAGAAGGATCCAGCATCCACACTTCAGTGTACCACAAATCGTTGGCTACTCCTACATACATACCAGTCAGTTAGTGCAACCCATTCTCATACAAGGCAGCAGTCTTAAATGCTCTAGACCAGCGTTTCTCAAAGTGGGCGATAACGCCCCCTTGTGGGCGCTGGAGGCTTTCAGGGGGGCAGTAGAAGGCTCAAAGAGAATTGGGGGGGGCGTTAAGGAAATATAGAGGGGCGACGGCAGACAAATTCTATATATAAAAATTCGACGGAATATATATAAAATGTTGACATTTTATATATTTTTTATTGAAGGTCACAACTTGAATATTTCTAACACATTGACTTTTATTTTAGCTCAGTGTTTCTCAAAGTAAGCAATAACGCCCCCTTCTGGGCGATGAATAGATCTAGGGGGCGCTGGAGGCAGGGTATTGAACGGTGACCAAAGGCAAAATTGGGGCTGATAAGAGGAAACATTGCGTTTAATGGTTTCCAGATGATGAGAACAATGTACAGTAAGGGCACAAAGTGTGAGATTCATAGAAAAGTTTTCCTAAGAATATTTCCAATCTTTTTCTCACACAAGAGAAAATGGGTTAGGGGGCGTTGGGTATAACTTTATGGAACAAAGGGGGAGGTGGATCGAAAAAGTTTGAGAATCACTGCTCTAGACAGAAGGGCATTTTCACATTCATCAACCAAACAAGCAAGCCCTAACAGCTGAATTATCCCAAATTAAGAGGATAACAACCGAACACAAGTACCTCACTTACTTGAGTGATACCAGCACTTGGATAGCAAATAAATCCTTCTCAGAAGCCAAAAATGTTTATTGGTAAATTGTATGGCAAGTATTTAACATAGTAATTCAAACACAAATAATTATCGTATTTATCTTCAGGCACTTGGCAATACTTATCATCAAGTTTTATTCAGTTATTCAACTGAATAAAACTTGATGATAAGTATTGCCAAGTGCCTGAAGATAAATACGATAATTATTTGTGTTTGAATTACTACTAATAACTACAAGCACTGTTTCAAAAGTACCAAAGTATTTAACATGTTAACTGCCAGCTGTATATTATGCAGCAATCTAGTTTTCAAGATTTGTTTAAATTTATTAATGTGTTAAGGGATTTGAATTATTTACAATAATTTTTTTTTATTCTTCTTTTGATGCAAATTTAACTTAATGTCAAATAAATGCAACTCAATTCATTCAGTTCTCATTCTTATGCACTTACTGCAGAATGGGTAGAAATGATTATGCAGAAGAGTGTGGGAAAATGTTCAAATGCCAGAGATGTGGCCACATTTACAACTGCATGGAAATTTGCATTAATTCATAACCAGTAAACATGCATTTACTGGTTATGAATTAATGCTAAATATAACAAAATGCATTTTGTTATATTTAGCATTTAGGTAAACAATTTTTCAAATTACTTTTCTACAAAAGTCTCTCTTAAAACTATAAACTTCATTGTACTTAATACAAAAAATTATTATATAATTCAAGGAATCAACTTATTTATTTCCAATTAAGTGTTTTTCTAGATATTTTTGTGTTACATGAACAAACCCAAAACAAACAAGTTCCAATGACAAGTAATGGATTCAAACATCAATTACATTTAGTTATAGGTTATAGGTGGAAAAGATAAAGGCCGCACCGTTAGCATAGCCTTAGTAAAGAAAGGAATGAGAAGTAGAAATGTAGGGTGGGGATACGGATAACAGTAGTATGAGGGAGGAAAAGGTGGGTAGATAGTGGGAAAGAAAACAGAAGGAAGTGAGTCCCCATAAGTGTTGTGCCAGAACCAAAATAAAAACAATGTAATATTTACAGAAATTCCCATGCGGGAAAATAGCAGTATGATAAACCACGTATATGTTACCGGCCAAACCCAATTTCAGGCCAAATTAGTTTGTTCTAGGCCAAACTAGTTTATCCTATGTGTGTCAGGATATACTAGTTTAGCCTAAAACAATCTAGTTTGGCCTAAATACTTTAGGCTTAACTAGTTTGTCCTAGGCTGAACTGATTTAGAATTATTTAAGTCAGGCCTGGCCAACCCAAATTGTTTTGCATGCCACTTTGATCAAGCGTAACATTGTAATGGGCCACAATTTAGGCAAAAAAGTAAAACAAATACAAAATTAATAAGATTTCATTGTTATACGAAGAGTTTGTACTTGCACTCGTGCATTATAACAATCACACATGCAAATTTTCATTTATTTAATTGTTTCAGTATACACAAAACAGAAAACAAAAGTTCTAATAGATATATAATATCGCTTAGTGTGCCACACAATATAATGTGACGGACCGTAGGTTGGCCAGGCCTGATTTAAATATATTAGTGGTTAAAATAAAATTAAAAGGCAATCAGTTAGATGAACAATATTTATTCAAACATAGTCTACTTAATTATAAAAAACGGTATTGATTAGGGTGACACAACATTTGTAAAAAACTATAAAATAAAAATGAGCTAATCAGTACTTATCAGTTTGTACGTTTTTTATTAAGCCATGCACTTTTAAAGGTAATTAACTTTCGAAAATATTTTCAAAAATTCAAACGAAATAATAAAAATAACTTTTAAAGTCAAACTAAAATTGAAAATAAACTTGTTTGTGTTTCTTAGTGTAACATATAAAATATTTATTCTTTTATTTATTTTTACAGAGTGGTATAAAGTATACCTAGGTAACCCCAATGGTGGCACTTCGGACTGTTCGTGCTCCCAGTGGACTCCTCCCGGAGGGGAGCCGCCGGCAGGCCACCCATTGTTTAATGTCACTAGTTATTGATTCATGGTAGTTCTTGAATAAAAGAAAAAAAAACGTCTAATAAAACGTAGTTAACCTAACCAAACCAACCTAACCGAAGCACTGCCATTGGGGTTACCTAGGTAACCCCAATGGCAGTGCTTCGGTTAGGTTGGTTTGGTTAGGTTAACTACGTTTTATTAGACGTTTTTTTTTCTTTTATTCAAGAACTACCATGAATCAATAACTAGTGACATTAAACAATGGGTGGCCTGCCGGCGGCTCCCCTCCGGGAGGAGTCCACTGGGAGCACGAACAGTCCGAAGTGCCACCATTGGGGTTACCTAGGTATACTTTAACCCACCCTGNTTACCTAGGTAACCCCAATGGCAGTGCTTCGGTTAGGTTGGTTTTATCTTTAACCATCTTTAACCACCAGGTGTACTGTGGTGGAATTTCGAATTACACAAAATAACTTTTTTTTACACTGGCACCTATTTGTAGTACATAAATCAGTTCAGCCTAGGTCAAACTAGTTAAGTCTAAAGTATTTAGGCCGAACTAGATTATCCTAGGCTAAACTAGTATATCCTGACATGTGTAAGATAAACTAGTTTGGCCGGTAACATATATATATATATGAGGCACGGTAAAAGTACAAAATTGGAGAGACATCACTTTTATGATGGTACAGAGTAGCATCCAGAAAATGAAGAACCGGAATGAAGAATTCAATTTGTGTGGTTCTGCTGAGTCTGATGATACTTGAAATTATCCAGAGGTTTAATGAAGTCCAGTAAGTATTTGTAGTATCTGTTGTTTTCTAGCAGGATGGAAGGTTGGCAGGGTCAAGGAAGATTGTCTTTGTGAGTGTTGATCACTAGTTGTAGGCATTGTTTCTCATATTTCTGGCAGTGGAAAAACAGATATAAGGAAGTTTCATCATCCTCGAGACAGTGTGTACACTTGCCATCACCTACTCTCAGGAACCTTTTCAAGTAGGCCCTGAAATTTCCGTACCCAGTTAGCAACTGGGTTAGGTGGAAGGAGGATGCCAGACACCCATTAGTGGAACAGGTAACCTTTGGAAGGAATTCGTAGGTGATCCTACCAGCATCTCCAGAATCCCATTTGTCCTGCCACTCCCTAGCGGTTTGCCAATTTAACTTTTCAGAGATCCAGGAGGTGGGGAGTAAGAGATGGAGGTAGTTCTTCCAGTTGCAGTTTGTGCCAATTGAGTGGCCTTGTCATTCCTGTTGTTGTAGTGGCCCTTGATCCAGTAGAAATTAATCTGCATCTCCTGTTGCAGGTTAATAAGGGGGTTAATTAGGTTAATAAGGGGGTTAATAGTCAAGTTAGCATTCCTGTTCCAGATTTGGTGAAGGGCCACCCTACTGTCAGTGATGATGTTGATGCTTCGGTTCTTTACAGTGTTGCGCTGTAAGTCCAAGAACAGCAGAGCCCTATAAATGGCATAAGACTCAGCTTGATTGTTGGTACAATGATTTGCTAGCCTAAAGTAGTTATTCTTCAATAACTGTTTCCTATTGTCGGCAACCACAATGGAGCCCCAACACCTTCCTCTAACTTAGACCCGTCAGTGTAAATATTTAGGTTGTTTGGAATCTTGTCAGAGGTCATGTAGAACTGAGCATTTATGTTAATTACTGGATGAAGCTCACTGTGCTTGTAAACCTTGTCTAAGCCTGCCACAGTAATGGAGTTAGTTAGATCAGCGATATGAGGAGGCAGGGAGTTCTCGGGATGTAACATTCTGAGATTGCTGAGGATAGTACCCTTTTGCCCTATGTTGGTGAGGAAGAACTTCCACATCATCTCTTTTATTTTCAGGTCAATGGGGGAGACCAGTAATAGCGAGGAACTGGTGGGGGCAATTCTATAACTCTTGGCTATAGAGATAGCAGCCATGTGGATCCTATTAACTGCACTACCCCAGATCTCGCTCCAATATGTAACAGATGGCACAATAGCCCCTAGATAGACGGTCTTTGTAGCTTTAGCATCTAAGCCCCAGGTTTAGACCTTAGAGAATGGCAGATTTTAACTTCCTTGTCATGTATTATTTGAACATGATCCTTCCATGATAACCTTTGTTCCAGGATAAGGCCAAGATACTTGATAGCGTTGTTGATTTTGATTTTAGTCCTTTCAATGGACCATACCCTTACATTTATAGGTATTTATAACTAGCTTGTTCTCTTTTGTCCATTCAGAAAGAGATTTGAGAATTTTGTTCATATTAGCCTGCAGGACTTTCTGGTTTGCATGGGAAATGAGGAGGACTGTGTCGTCCGCACATGCCTGAATCATTGGGTTGAGTTTGTGTGGGAGTTTGCTGGTAAGACAAAAGATACTATTGTGCAAGATATTCCAGAAAAAGGGGCCAGCTTTGGACCCCTGTGAGCAACCCCTGTTAATGTTTTGCTCATAGAAGACAGTCCCATTATGAATACTCTAAATACTTCTGTCAGAAAGGTAACTGGACAAGAGGTTGTAGACATTTCTTGGGCACTCGGAGTGCAGAACATCAGCTTGGATCGCCAGCCACAAGGCATGGTCAAAAGCACCATGAAAGTCAATAGCAACCATAAGGGTATGTTTATTGTCCTCCTTTCCCTTTTTGATATAGGCCACCAGATTAGCAAGAGCCAACGTGGGGTTCTTGCCCCTACGGAACCCATATTGATAACTACTAATGAGATTTTTACTCTCATAACGATGGAAATCCTGTTTACCATGAGGACATCCAATACTTTACTGATGATTGGCAAAAGTGAAAATGGCCGGTAGCTCTCGTGTGAAGTGGAGGTCCTGTAAGGGTACTTGTATTATAATGAGCTTGACAGAGGCCAATTTCTAGGCTGTAGGGAAGTGCCCAAGCTCCAGACATTTATTGAATAAAGTAAGAAAGGTTGTTGGAACAAAGCTGTGCCAGAGAAAGCTATTTATATATTGTTGTCTAAATGTTACATTTAGTTGTAAAATATTGTTTAAATGATAAAAATTAAATTAAATAAAAAACTTAATACATTAAAAATAAAAAACAGTGCAAGGACAATTAACAATTATTTATTATTCATCCAACATTTTTATTTACTAGATTTAGTTTTACTGCACCATTAGGTCTAAGATGAACTTCCTATAAATTTTAGCTGACTGAGTCATACATTGAGAAAAATTCTTCTCTCACTGAAACCAAACAATGTATTAACATAAAAGCATACACCACAGCCTCAGATATATCCAGCAACACAACTGTGGTGTATATTTTTAAGTTAATACATTGTCCAATTCCAATGAGATGTTTTACTCATATCCATATAAGAGTGGAACATACATTTGCAAACATAATACATTCAAATTTTATTAAAACTACAAGTTTTATCAAATGATTGGATTATCAAAGCAAAAACTTTCTTACCTCTTCTTTCAAGAAGCGTAGTTATTAGCTGCTGTAGATTGAAAAACCTAGAAAAAAAACATTTATGTAAAATTTTTGAACATTAAATGTAACAGTAAATAAATAAATATAAGAAGTCATACAGAAATGTAACAAAATATAATATTGAGTGTGAATTTCATTATATATGCAATAAACAAACTGTGTCTGAACTCCAAAACAATAACATTTTATGTATTAACATTACATAGTGGAACATACAATACATCCAAAAACAAAGATGCTTAAAAGATTTGAGGAATCACTAATTTATTCAGATAAAACATTTTGCAGCTATTGTCAGCTTTGAATCCCACCTGTATTCTGCTGCAGAGTGGATCACAGATGGAATCCAAAACCGAAAAGAATTATGTTGCATAGCATCTTGTAGATGCCAGTTTTTATTCTAAAATTGTTAAAATTGTTCTAATTTTATTCTATAATCAAAAACTATGATTATATGTTTAATTTCTGTATTTGGTCTTATTTCTAAGGATATAAAATATTTGTGTAATACAAAAAATGCTTTTTTTCTGTTTATTTTATTGTAATTTGATCAAAAAATGCAAAAGTAAACATATCAAATTTTAGAAACCCCTGTAGATTATCTCAACTTATACCATTAACATCTGTGTGAAATTTGAGAGAAAGGTGATATTTTTCAAGGTCATAGTAGTACCAGTAAAACTTTATTATTTTCTTGGCAGACTGTCAGTACAGCCCACCTGACTAACTACTGCTACTAATGTCAATTAACTGCTAATTGTTTTATTACCCTGTAAACAAAATCTCCCTTCCTGGTTGTCAGTCAGTCAAATAGCAATGTTATTACTTTACTGTACTCAGAAGAACATTTACTTTTAACAACTAGTTTTGTTAAATCTAATTTTATTTTTTAGGCATGTCAGTAACCCTGAAGTTTTCAACATGCTGGTCTCTCCCAGTTATATATATAACATGCCAGTCAATTTGTGAAAATACAGTATGAATTGTTATTTGTGTGATTATTTGGATTCTTTCATAGTCTCTTCTGGATTAAAGATGAGCTACAGATGGGATCTGGAGTTCAGATGATAAAGACCTTAAAAAATGTTTTATCTGCACTAAGTAATTCCTTATAGTCTACAGATATTTTTAAATGAATAAATTTTGGCAATCAGAGAACAGTTATAACTATTATAGAAATTGTCAATTACATAAAGACAGAATAAAATGTTTTTATACTATACTAATAGAAAAGAGTAATTTCGATTAAATAAATATTAATAACACTAATTCAACTTAGAAAATAATAATTAACTTTCAACAGTTATGTTAAATTTAATCTTTCTAGAATTTTCTGAGCCATCAAAATCTTTTGTCTGCCCAACTGTGTGTGATTATAAATATATTTTTTTACCTCCATTTAATAGATCAAATGTAACAGAAACCAATATTTATAATCAAATCTGTGCAAAAGATGTGGGGTATGCAAGAAAGGCAATAAAGGGAGAGTGAAACAAGCAAGGATTGAGTTGAGCAATGCAAGTGGAAAATGAGCCAAGGGACTTAGCCCCTCATAGGTCAATCATCATCAGAAATTTTTTGTTATGCATATTGGGAACAAGTGGGCAAAGCCTGTGGGGCAAGCAAGTGATGCCAATGGGGCATTAGGCCTCCTACAGTGGTCAGGAGGTATAGTCCCCCAGTAATTAAATAGAAATATCCTAAAATATTGTTTAACTTTGTTTAGTAATGTAATCTATTATATATTTTTATATTAATTTGTAGAAATTTAGTTGGATGGCAATTAAGTTTAAAAGTTAAAATGAAGACAGTCTGTTGAAAAGGAATCACTATTTATTCACTTTCAATGTTCCAGAATACAAACTTTTGACAACTGACCTTCTTTTGTAGGCTACTTGGCCATCAAAATTTTGTATTCTGAAACATTGAAAGTGAATAAATAGTGATTCCTTTTCAACAGACTGTGTCTTCAATTTAATTTTTAATATTTTTATATGGTAAAAGAAAACATTTGATGGCAGAAATGAATTATTGAAGCAGAAAAATCAGTACACCAAAGACAAATTCACATTAAACCAATAGACCCAACTAAACTGATTCTACATCATATTTCCATAGCAACTGCAGTTGATTAACCAATGTATCATTCAATGTCAATAGAATTCAATAGTTAAATTCTTGTAGTTATATGAGAAAAAACTGAGCAATTCTCTTCAAACCTCTTTGAAGTGCTAGCTTGTTTAATGGACTACTGATGGTGTGCAATGATGGAAAGAAAAGCAAAGACAAAGGTTTTTACTCTTTGTGAATGCATTGTATTTTATATTTATTAAAAAATAAAAATAATGTTTATTATACATTATCTGAAAGAAAACTTGTTTTAACTGACCCTCACATGACTCATCCACTCACCTCCTAAGAGTGTAATTAGAGATGAAGTGTAAATAATGGCTATAACTTCTCTCAGCTCCAGCTAGACAGCTGCAGTTTGTTTTGTTTAAAAGAAAATATATATGTAAGTAACTGATGTAAAGAATTCATCCAATCTGTTTAAATAAATTTTTTTTGTTTTTTTTTGTAAAATGTAATTATTATTTTCAATTTGTATTATACAAAAATTTAAAGAATCATAAACTGTAATATGTTTGTGATTAAAAACAGAAAATAAACTGAATCTAGCACAAGTTTGAAATGAGATATTGCAGTTTAAAACATTATAATAAAATGTTATTTTTTTTAGTAGGTTGAACAATAAAGGTTAATTATAATTTTCCTATTGTCAAAAAATTTTAAATTACTGTTTTGAGAAAATTTGTCTGTTATGCAAAGTTGGATCCAAGTTAGTAATGGTTTACTGTATCCATGAAAATACCAAGAAAGGTATCATAATTACAAAGACCTACAGAAAAAAAAATAATAATTCATAAAGAAATACTGCAAAGAAATTGATTACTTTAGGTCCAGTGATAGTGTTACCACCTGTCTGGTTTTCACCCGGACAGTCTGACTCACTGTCCAGGTGAGCAATTAATTTTGTCCGGGAATTTCATAGAAATTGTGAAATTACGATAAAACAAAGTTCTTGCAAATATTTTTACACATTTACACTATTTTAACAGTGAAAGAACTCACACTCACTGAAACTCATCTGCAATTCTGCCATGTTAGTCTGTTTATTCCAATGTGTAATGTGCAACCTGTCGACCTTTTGTTTTTTTTTATTTGCATGTACAAATCGTACATGTCTGTACAATTGTAATAAGTAACATCAATTAAAAAAGAACCGTACATGTCTGTACGGTTCTTTTTTAATTGATGTTACTTACATTACTTCTACGCAAGTCCCTAGTCCCTAACTCTAACTGATTTACAACCGGCATGCACATAATTCTTTGCATTGTAAAATGACATTGCATATGCATCAGGAATTTCTGTTCGAACAAACCTGACCTGCCGTCCGGGTCAACGATTTTGAAAAGGTGGCAACACTATTCAGTGAAAAAATAATAATTGTCAGTGTAAGTACTCTTATTCAAATATATTCAAAGTAATCCAATTGTTTTAACTAGTATGTTTGATCCAGTCAACACATGTAAATTCATGTTAACAGATTTAAAAATTACCAGTGAGTAATTTGTGTAACTACATCACAATACCTATGCAGAATTCTTTTCATTCTGTAGAACTGTAATGCATTGTATACAAAACTAACTAAAAGTAGAAAAAGTTTTAGATTATTTTTATTAATATATTTAAACTAGCTAATGTACTGTACATGGCAACACTTGGTTATCTTAACAAAACAATGAATAAATTTGAAAATTATAGTTTTGTCAAATGTTGGTACATGTGGTAGTCAGGTACTATATACAGAGGTCACACTAAAGTTTCCAAATCCTGTTTGTTGTTTCCTTCTGTTTGTCCTCATATCTTCTGAAAGTACTCTCCCTGGTGCTTGATGCAGCACTGCATGCAGGAGAACCAGCTCTGGAAGCACCAACAGTATTCTTCTTCTAAGATGTCTGCCAAGGTCTCTGTGTACAGCAGCTCCCTCTACTGGATTCCCAAAATGACATCCCTTGGAATCACCTTGACTTTCAGAAATAGAAAAAAGTTGCTGAATGCTGAATCTGGACTTTAAGGTGAATGGGTGACCAACTGCATTGGCAGTTGATCAAGTAGACTACCGTTCTCGTTGTTGTATGCACTACTGTAAGGTTGAGATGCAGCAAGAGTCCACGAAGGCCTATTTTAGGTTGTTCTTTATGAATTTCTTGAAAGACTTGAGGAAGACAAATGGTGATAAACCACTCAACATTAACTGTCTTCCTATCCTCAACGACTATTGTGGCAACATGACCTTACAATCATATTCAAAATCAACTCTAAATAAACTCTGAAGATCCAGAACATTATACTGCTTGGAAGGAATTTATAACAAGTTACCACTCTCTAGAATCACAATTAATTATACTCTGATACCAGATTAGGTCTTCCTTCACCTCCAGAGTCAGTTCACTCTAACTACAAATCACTTGATAAAACTACCCACTATCAGTATTCCATGCTTTGATGGCAATGTTAGGCAATGGATTCAATCTAGAGATATTTTTACAAGTTTAATTTTAAATAATGAAGCCTTAAGCAAAATTCAAAAATATCATTACAGTAATACCTTGACTTACGCTACCCTGGAGTTACACAATTTTCAAATCTCATTGATTCATCTTTTGTTTGAGCGCCACACAACTCTTGATTACTCACTTCCCCCACAATATTGTTCAGCTTGCATGTTCGGACATGTCACACAGAATCAACACATAACTACAATTTATTTTGTGTTATTTATTTCTGTACTTGTTATATCTACAGAGACTCGAGAGACTCTATGTGGTGATTTATTGTAACCGTGAACGAACCAAAAGACAAGATAAGATTAATTAGAACATTTATTAGCTTACATACATCTGACTTGGATTTTACACAAATTGCGAAATTATACCCTGACTTACGCAAATTCGAC